AGAAGAGTATCTCACCTAATTTAAATCAAAATAGTTTAAAATAATTTTGGAAATGTGGGTTTCTGTAGATCTCAGTAAACAAGCCACCCTTTTAGAAAATACGTCAGTGGCAAGAGGATTTTTTCAAGTGAAAAGTTTTGTGATGTTTTCTATTATCTTGCTTTGGAATTTTGAGTTTTACTTTTCACTGTAAATATGTACTTGAGAGAACTTTGTCTCCTCTCAATGGCAGTATACATTTTTAGCAAGTTTGTCTTCATGTTTTGCTGTTACAGTATCTCATATATATGTCTAAATCTGGCTTTGTTTTCATATGGGAATAGAATATACATGAGGGAAAAAATCCAAGTGTTAGAATCCATTAAAATATATTGGTTGGCTCTAAAGACTAAGATAGTGAGAGAGAGCTGATAAATTCACACACAGAAAAGTAGAATAAAGATCTGAACAAAATAAGTTGTTGAGATGAACTTGACAGAATGGTGGGTTTTTTTCTTTGGTTAATAGTTATTATAAAATAAGATTTTACAAGAATTAATTCAGTAAAAATAATACTTCTGCATTACCCTGTGGTTATTTTCACTTTTCACTTATATGGTTACTTTTTGTGTTTGGTAATCTTCATCTCTCTAGTGTTTTCAGTAAGTAATTTGAAGTAAGGATGAAGAGATCGCTTCTTGTTCCTAACAATAAGCTCCTGCTATTTGAGATGTTTTTTGCCTCAGTAATGGAATCTCTGCTGTCCTATTTGGCACTTGATTTAATAAAAAAGATGATAATATCTGCAATAATAACAGCAAAGACTTCTTCAAAATATTAGTAAACTAAAATTAGCTTTCATAATAGATACGTTAAGTTTCTTAGGACTGCAGGAGGATATCAGTATGATTTAAAGTAGTTCCTTCACTCAACAAATATGCAAATGACACATATAGTGTACTCCACTTGTATAATAAGTACATCATTGTTTAAGTAAATAGCACAATACAAGCCCCTGTGTTTTTTCCATTGATTGCACTGTAACAAATTGTAGTTATCTGCATATTGCTGAAGTTCAATGGAACTCTTTGGCTATGCTTTCTAATTTGTAAAATGTGCCTCATTTAACTTCATAATTGATTAAACTGATTAGGAGCCCACAGTTTCAAAGCTTCTGAAACAGCTTTAAACTGACTATGTCCTGTCAATTTTAGTGCTTCAATTAGAGGCATAATATATTCAGAGAAGAAAAGTAACAAACGGTTATAAGGTGCAAAAAGCTTTAGTACAATGGTTCTCAACCTTTTCTGGGTCAAGGCACCTATCCATAACTTTTCTGAATTTCAGAGGCCCCAGCTGAGAATCAATGGCCCAATACAAGAATTTGACCAAAATATGATATGTTTAGGACATTTTCCTGTGCTCATTTTTGTCACAGATACAGGTGTAATAAAAGGAAGGGGAAACTTGGCAAAGCTGACACCACTTCAAACAAAGCACTCCTAATACCAAACCAAGGAGTAACCCAGTATTCCAGAGGTGTAGCTAGTTGTTTCTGTGTCGTGGACAGGAAAGGGGGAATGGGTGAGGGCGTGGGAAGGGCTTTGCACTTAGCAAAAGAGAACGGGAGGTGGGAGAGATGGGCCGAGTCTTACCTATAGCAGCATGGACTCACCCAAGGGCTGCAGGCTCCCACCCTCTGCTACATTAATGCTCTCATAGCTGTTACTGTATAGATCAGGACTGTACAAGCCTCATTTTGGCTGTAAAAAGGTTAATAATGTGGTGGCTGCTGCACAGCAGGGGGGAGGGGGAGAGAAGCTGCTAGGGGTATCCTGCCTCTGGTCTGCATTACCAGCAGGACAGTGCAAAGGGCTGCAGCCAGAGTGGGTGCAGAGTTCCTTCTCAGGGATATATCATGTACACATATATTGCAATACAGTAGACATTCACCTGCACCCACAGCCTTGCTGGTTCATCACTAGGGACCTACCAAAATCACAACAGAAGTGGACTGTGCAGCAGCTCCTTTATTCTTGCAGGTAACCTCTCCCCACACCCACTGCTGATTGGCGGAGAGGGCCTGCCTCTGCCTCTCACTCCTGATCAGCAGGGAGACGAAAACCACAGTTTTAAATATGGCACCATTTTTGTCTCCTGGCCTGTCAGAAGCAAACATCAGGGCCACTGGGGCTCCTCAGCCAATCAGCAATATGGGGGGAGAGGGAGGTGAGGGAGAACCTGGAAGATTGAACAAGCTGCCGTGCAGCCCACTTCTGCTGATTGCAGTAGGTCTCTATCCATAAGGACTGTCTTCAGCACCACTAAGAAATTTTGGGAAGGAGGAGAGAGAGGCTAACTGGTCTGCAGCTACATGAATCTGATAGTTAAATATTTCTGTCATTGCAGAAAAGAAAGCTCATGGGCTGTTTGTAGCCACTACTGTTGGACTGAAGATACTAAAGAAACAGTCTTGTGTTATTCTCATGCTGCATTGCAGACCTCTCTTAGAATTCTTCCTTTCAGTGGCCAGAGTGTCTTTGCTTCCTGATTTTGTAACATTGGGTATATTCATAAGCACAGGTTCATATGTTTTGCCTTGCATTGAAGTCAGAGACTTAATATGAAAAAAGTGTAACCAAATCTTTACACACATTTTTGAAATCATCAAATCTAGAGTAAAATAAGTAGCATGAAGAATGTTAAAATTCATAGTAGGCCCATGTGGCATTTAAATTTCCCTTTGTTTGGATGGGCTTCCAAGCACTGTCCCTGGGTTCTCTAGCCCACATTGAGTTATCTCTTCTGAAATTAGGACACTGCAACCTGTCCTAGGTCTGGTTTGTGCTAAAGAGTTTACTATCAGGGTTATGCTGCCACCCCCTAGTGTACTCGCCAACCTAACTGTGCCGACAGAAACTTTCCCACGTATGATGCTCTTGCTCTGGTCAGTGTGATTGCTATGCCAAGCAAACTAATTTTTTTATCCTCGTATGTGTCTCTGGTGCAGTCCTGTTTATCAGGTTACCTTTTGGTCAGCCTCAAAACTGCCATCAGGTTGTTGGTTGCCTTGTTATGAGCTCATCTGGAGGGGTCTGATTATTGGGAAAGTAGCCCACTCATTGAGTTAAAGTACTGGTATTTAGATACAAGATCATCAAGGCTTAGTGACCTTTCACTGTTAGGCCTGTGCAAGTCAATCCAAGATGGAGGTAATAAGACTGTCAAGAAAATGCAGAACAGCCTTATCAGAATAGTGAGAGCCAGATGCCGTAGGTATCAAATATAATTAGCAAGACAACTTCTCCAAATCATTATATGCAGTGTCTTTAGGAACATAATTAAACTATATGACTGACCCATGATAACCTTAAACTAATCTCTGATAACATCATGGATTTGTTGCTGCTTTTAAGTATCACTTTGTTCTGCATAAAAGAAAAATAAGTATATCTTTGAGTATGTGATAGTTTTGGTTTTAGGGGAACAACTAACCATAACAGATCTAATAATACCAAATCTGCATACCCACCTGATCATGAGTAATTGTGTGAAGATGTCTTTTCTTTTTCAGATTTATAATAACCTAAGAATTTAGGTGTCTCTCCCCTGCCCCCGCCCCCAATCTGTTTTACTTCATTTGCTACCAAATTTGCTATCATACATATCAGGCCTGACAGCCGGATCTGGCCCATGGTTAAACCACCCATCTGGCCCACAGGGCAAAAAGGTTGAGCACCACTGTTTTAAATTATACCTCTAGTCCATACATAGTTTGTGATAATTTCTCATGCCATCTTTCAGGGCCTCCAGTAAGACATGAGACATTACACTGGAGGAAGAAAACAGATCATTTGTACCAGAGAGATCTGATTTGAAGGGAGAGACAAATGTGTGGTTTCATGGTTGGAATGAAATCAAGTGTATTTGGATTTCTTGGGGTTTCAGGAAGTTTGACCTTTGGAAATTTTATTTTAGGATCTGGCTCAGTGGCTGGCGTAAGTTTGACACCACTGACCGAAGCCATCAGTTCTAGTTAGTTAAGGCACACCAGTTTCTACAGTCAGTGACACGTAAGGGGCTGATATAAGTGACAATTTTTTACCCTTCCCTGGCTTACTTCCTTCCCCCATTCCTCCAAACCAGGTACCCATGTACTGCTTATTCCACTTACTCTTACAGCTCAAACTCGTGCCTCTGAAGCAAAGACATTTTAACTGTTGTGTAACCACATGCTGGCAATATGTCCTTTATGTTGAAAAGCAGCATTTCATTCAGACTGAACATGCATCCAGTAGGGTTGAACATGTACAAAACAAAATCCTTAATCTGAGTTCCTGGTTACAGTAAATCAGCAGAGAATCCAAAGTGGCTACCTTAGAATCAATGCATCTAGATCTGATGTCAGAAGATATGTGCTACCACTGCTAGCATTGTCCTGTTGTTGACTAAATAGAGGACACTTATCTCCAAGGCTGTTTTATCTAGAGTTTCACTAGAACTAAATCTGCATCAAAAATAAGAAAGGAAAAGAAAAAGTTAGGCTGTCTCCCTAAACAGAATCATGTCTTATGTACAAGAGAGAATGCAGTAGGAAAAAACAAAAGCTAAATACATTTTAATGCTGCAGTACAAATGATGCCAAGCCTAGTTAGCTGATTAGTACGCGATGAATCATAGCAACTAAAAATAAAAAATAAGTCCATTGATAACACTTTTTTAAAATCTTGCAATTATATAGAATTCCCTAGTAAATGGCTATACCTTCTATACAGACTTTATTAAAAAGCCAAGCTAAATGTCATATTGGAGCCCAAAAATAAAAGTTCTTCTCTTTCATGATTTCTGCAACTCCTGAAATCAATTTAAATTCTTAATTGTCTTTTCTGTACTAATTTAGCTTACGTTTATATTTCTTAGTTGACATGCATAGAAGAAGAAAACAACTACACACCAAGTGTCTTTAGACTGGTTTATTTATAAGAGTTGAAACCCACTGTAACTCTTTTTTGTGATTTCAGATTGATTTGGAGCAGTACAAAAAGGCACTGACAGATGCAGGGTGTAATCTGGCTCCCTTGAACTACATAAAACAATGGAAGTAAGTTAATACTTCTCTCAAAGTAATGCATAATTGGCATGGAATAGAAAGATTTATAGACTGTAACCAGAGTATCAGGAAAATATGCATAATTTCCAGTGTTTCAAATTGTGAACCTTGACGCATAGTTTATGACAATACATCTTGCTGTCACTGATTTCCCAATTACATCTGAATATTTTTAAGCCAAGCTCTAACGTGTCAGAATTTGGTGACACTTCACTGTTAACTATGTACTTAATTTTTTTTCCCCCAGACAAAGAGAAAAACCAAAGCAACTCACTGCTTCAGAAGCAGGCTCTAGTTTAAGCTGAGAAGTCCTTGTTTCTGATCCTTGTTTGAGTCCCATTAGCCACACTTCCTGCACTATGAAATTTTTTTTAAATGTCATAAAAGCAGAAAACTATTTGGTTCATTCTCATCCTTAATTTTTAGATGCAATAGTCCTAATACCTTTCAGTTTCCTAACTATAGTTCACCTTAATTCTAAATTTAAGATTGGCAAATGTTGGGCTATTTTGGAAGGGATGAAGTAGGTTTTAGTTCAGGTTTATAGAGAAAGATGTTTGTAGTTTGCTCAGTTACCTGATGATGGACTCTTGGAGGCAGATTTATTTCCATTCTTAAAATAACCAGAAGGTAACATTCCACAATAGCATATTCATGGGGAGCTAAGATGTAGTAATGTAATAGTATAAACAAATAAAGCATTTGGTTTTAACTTCTTCTACAGGGCTTATACCAAGATGGCTTCAGCTCCAACAAGCTATGGAAACACTACAGCTAAACCACTGGGGCAAGTTTTTTTTAATTAATTTACCAAAAGTTGTAGTATTTCATTATTTATAAGTTTACTTGAAAACCCCTAAGTGTGATTGGTGCTGTGCCAGACACAGAGTGAAATGCATCACTGTCATTAAGAATTTTGGGCTAGCTCCAAGTCAGTCTCATAGCTACCTCTGTATAGGCATTGCGGCACGTAAAAATTAGGCATTTTGTCTCTATGGCCAATCCAGGTAAACAGGGTGAGGTATTTGAAACCCCAGTATAGCCAATGAATGATTTATGCACCATTAGGAAATATAAAGTCCAGGATGGGTCTGAATTCCTGCCCAGGAACTGCCCTATTGTCATAAGATCCAGAGCTCCTAGTGGAGAAGTATCTCTCTTATACCAGCAACCCCCCATCACAGCCTTCAGTCTCAAATACAGCCAGGGGCAGTACTGCCCACCTTTTACAGAATAGCCTGCATTTTAGGGTATAAACTCAGGGAGGGCCCAGGGATGGACCTATGGGGGAATGAGATGAGCATTTGTGTCGCCACACATGCTTTCATCACTGAGTGCTCCAGTTTCAACCACCAGACTTGAACTCAGTGATCTTTCTGCTGTTACCACCTCCCCCTTTTCAGCATTATGGTTCCACTCCTATCTAGGCCTACCTCAGCCTGAGAAGACACGCACCCCTGTTTCCCAATACAGTGCTATAACCACCAGGATAAAATTATAGCAAAATGTTACTTTTAAATATAGCTGTTCACTGTTTTGCACTTAATTATCATTGCAGAAGCTGCATAGTAAGAAGACAGAGAGCTGTGGCTGTAACTTTGGCTGCTTGCAGACATGGGGAAAAAAAGCGCTTTACTGGAAGAAGCATAGTGTTAGTTTGGCCCAGCTCTGCAGCAACTGTATAGATTGGGTGCTTCAGCAGGGGTTTTTTGGCACTTTTTTCTAAAGCTGATTCAATCAACTATGAGAGAAAAGCACCAAAAAAACCCCACTGAAGCACGTGATCTATATAGATACTACAGAGCCAGGTTGAAGTAGCACACTGCCTCTTCTAAGCACACACTGAGCTCAGCATTGGAGGGCACTGAATTTAAAGTGAAACATGGTCTTGGGGGAGGGGGAAGTTCATGTCTGCAAGCAACCTAAGGCTAGGGACAGACATTATACACAAACCGGTTTAAGTGATCAGAAACTGGTTTAAACCTGTAACAGAACAGACATTTAGTGCACATAAACCAATTTGAAAACAGCTGAAACCGGTTTGAGATAAACCAGGTTGAATGTATCATCTTAACTGATTTGGGTCAAACCAGTTTATGCAGTGTCTGTCCCAGACCCCGTCCTGGTTTAAGTTAAATCAGAGTCCCCCCAGCATCCCTTCATACTCTCTGGACTGAGCTCTCTGCTTCAGAGAGCTGGGCTGTCCCCTCCCCATTGCTTCCTCGCTGGCGCTTCAGCAGAGGCTTCAAGGCACAGCAGTGTCTGCCCGGCTTCCCCTGCCCCAACCCCCCCTCCCTCTCCCGCCCCTCACTGCTCACTGCTATCCCTCCCTCCCTCTCTCCTCTCTCCCACAGCATGGACCATAGCCAGCATGTGGTGCACTAGCCAATGCTGAGACATGTCTGTAAGGCAGACAGAACAGTGTCTGTTTAGGACTTTTTGGAGCTAATCAACAGGTAGCTGGTAATGTTCCTCCTTGGAATGTTCCCTTCCTTGCAAAAAGTTGTTTAAGAAGAGCTTGAACTAATGAAAAAGGCTTTGTTTTCTGATGGGGTGCTAAATGCTGATAGTGATAAGGGAACTGATAAATGCTCCGCTGTCGGGCAGGTGGGGGAGAACCCCTCCCTAATCAGAGCTTCCTGCCGGGGCCTGGCCACACCCCCTCAGCTCAGTATTGTGGAAGGGAAGGGCTGCTTAGTGCCCCCCAGCTTTTAGCCTGAGCCACTGCAGGCATATGACTGAATTTCCTCAGTCCAGAGGGGATGTCTGTCCGGTTGCAAACTGGTTCAGCCTAGCCAGATTAGACTCACCTGCAAAGATTGAATCAATTCAAGTTCAGGCTTTTTGAATGTCTATCCCTAGCATAAGTGTCTGTATTGCCTTGTAGAAGAGCAGCTTACCCTTTAGGCTGTCATAATTTTATTTGAATGACCAGCTAAGTTTAATGTGTTCACTGGCAGCAAAATATTAGTGTTAAACTCATAGGTGCCTTCACCATCATTCTAAAACAAATTGTTCTATTTTATGTGTATGTAAGTAATCAGCTTGCATTATGAACTTGAACCTGAAAGAATAAACAGAACAGCTTTCTTAAATTAATTTTCTTTCTCAAGAAAGAGCTTCTGGACTTCAAATAATTGTAGAATAGATGTATACATTTCACTGAAGCTTGTAAAACCTTAAGTTATCTATTGTTTGAGGCACAATTTCACCACAGCAGATCACCTTGTTTATAATGGATATCAGTCTTTAAAAAAACCTAGGTATAAGTGACAACTCCAAAGCAAAGGCTCTCAAAGTCCTCAAGTTGATTAAAAACAAAAAAGAAGAAGGAAGTCGGTGCAGTGAGCATTCTTTCCTCTTTGTTGACAGAGAAATTTGTTCATTGTGTTATATTATTTTGTTTTACAGTCTGTTTTCACGTGTTATGAATACTGGATCACAGTTTGTAATGGAAGGAGTAAAGAACTTGGTATTGAAGCAGCAAGTAAGTTTAACAGGAAAAAAACAATAAACAGTATTTTTAGACTCTTCTGATTGAACATTTCAGAAGTGTATAGCCATAGGTTTTTGGATATTTTAATAAAATAAACTGTACTAATGATAAAGCAAACAATAAATATAGCTAGCCACTGTAAGAGTCAATAGATATACAAAATACATGCATTTGTATATTTTTTTGCATTTTAAATATTGAGAAACATTCTAGTTTTGGGTACTATTCATAGTCATCCATCTAAGAGCAATGATTAATTGAGATAAGCTCCCAAATAAGTGAACAGTATCTAGGATCTACCAGTCTCTTCTGAAAACCAAGTTCAGTATCCTGAAGAGATCACTTAGAATTTTTTTAATGAAAACTAAAATCTTATTTACACAGAAAATATGTAAACATATTTCCTTTTCTTTTTAGATTATAACATATTTTGTTACTGACAATAAGCCTGCCAAAAGTGTGGAAAGTCAAACAGTACTTTTGTTCATTCACATTTAAAACACTGCTCATTTTCCATGTGTATAAAATAAAACGACCAGTCTTGAAGTGTGACAAGAGTAATGAGTTTAGTTTGTAGTGAGATGATACATTGTAGATATGCAGTTTCCCTTAATAATATTTTATGACATAAGTAACTTGGCCTTTTTTCTTTTGGAGACTCATTGGCTCCCCATAAGCAGGAACATGTGCTTTGCAGTGCCTCAAAAGCTGTTGAGGCACTGCAAAACACACAGCACACGTGAATTGGTTTGCTAGGAAATCCCTATAGCTAAAAATATCCTAGAGAAAAAGAACGATGTGGCACACGTGACAGCAGCCAGAGCCACGCTCCAGCTGCTGGCCAGGTTCTACATGTTGGGATTGCTGCTGCTGCAGCCCTAGGAGACCCCCAGGAACCCAGGTGCTGGCCTCAGTCTTCCCTACCCCACTCAAGGCAATTTGCTGCATACCAGAGCATGCATGCAGGGGCATATTCCCCAAATAGGTGCCACTGCTAGCTGTCCCCAGGAAAATGCACATAAACACGCATGGGGGTGTGTCCACTGGCTTTAAAAAATGCAAGTTTTTAGGATTTTTTTTATCTCGCTTTTTACTCCTGTGTCCAGTACTGAACAATTTAAGATTTTTTGGCAAGGCCAAAATATCTCCTCTGGATTTTAAACTTTTTACAATTTTTGTGGTGTTTGTATAAATGTCCATTCATCTTACTTATAGGTTCACTCAGGTGTTCCTCCTTTTGCTCAGCCTCTCTTGTATTTACCTTTTTCCTGTGGACTTTCCTTCTCTGATGTATCCTTTCAGTAAAATAAATCCAGTCAGTCACTTTATAAAACTGTCCATGAGCTTATTGTAACAAAAGTAGTTTGAGTATTTTTTATGTAATCCTTTAAAATTCCTGTCCAGGCCCTTTGTCTCGTATCAACTAACTGCTTCCCTGTTGTTGCAATGGCAAGACGTTGACAGTGCCCTTATCTCCTCAGCTTTTAGCTGTGGCAGGTTATAGGGTGTTTTTGGTGTTTCAGTTATTGTTCTTGTAGTTGTGGTAAAGGACTGAAGTGGCAGTCCCGGGAATTCTTTAGTTAATGATAACATGTGAATGCAAGGAACTACCATATTGATTAGCACAACCTCATCTTCCCTACCATATGTGTTGCTCTCCACTTCATATAGAGCTTCTACTAAGATCATCTTTGTCCATCACTTTGAAAAGATAACATATAAGAAATCAGCCAACGTGTAATGGTGAAGATCAGGGATTTTGGTGAAAGTTGATATTTAATTTCAAAACTAAAAAAGTTGAGGACCTGGATATACATTTACATAAACTTTGATATGTGGTACATTTTTCACACTACATAAGCTGTTTTAATGCAACAGAAAGTGAACATCCACATGTTCATGATGTTTGTTCAGCTAAAGAAGTTGTATCTGCTATTAAAAAGTTGCTGATAAATAACAACTATTTTGTTGCACAAAACTTTTCAGAACACCTTTAATATGTGTGCAGGTCTCTCTGACCCCCAGTATCTCACTGCTTTGCTCTTCTTCTGCCCCTCCAAGCAAGGAGGGAGGGAAGGAAGGAGGAAGAGTGACTGACTCCTTCATAGTCTGCCCAGCCAATGAGCTGTCAGTTTACCGTGGGAGGACCCTACCACTGTTGCTGCACCAGAGCACAGGGTCCCACCAGTGTTCTCACACCAGTAGCAGTGCCCTGAGAACAACTGCCACCACTGCCAAAGCCCTGGGAAAAGTCAGGGTTTTGGCAAGCAGCATTGACAAAGCCACCACTCAGTCAAATTTTACCACCATGCATAGCTTGCAGGCTGACCTGCCAGCCATTGCTATGGTGATAATGGCTTACTGGTCTGCAGCAGTGGCGAGGGTTAAATGGGTACGGGAGACCACCCAATCACCACTTGCCACTCTAGGTGGCTTGTGGGCAGGCCCGTCAGCTGTTACCACAGTGGCAACAGCTGATAGGGAGACCACATCCCACCCACTGAGAGGTTCTCCTGGGGGATCAGTGGAGCTAAAGAGCAGTGTCTTTATCACCCCCTGGCTGGAGAGGATACTTTTTCAGTTAATTTGTCATACTGTAGCCAGGGGGCTATGCACATGTGCACCTCCTCTAGCAGTCTATTTTTGGTAGCACTCCAAAAAGAATGTGTTAGAGGCCTTTTTTGTCAATATAAATTACACCATAATCCATAGTTTCATAGTTGGTACGGTCAGAAGAGACCTGAGCAGATCATCAAGTCCGACCCCCTGCCATGGGCAGGAAAGGGTGCTGGGGTCAAACGACCCTAGCAAGGTGTTCATCTAGCCTCCTCTTAAAGAGCCCCAGGGTAGGAGCCAGCACTACTTCTCTTGGAAGTTGGTTCCAGATCCTAGCTGCCCTGACCATGAAGTAGCACCTCCTGATATCTAGCCTAAATCTACCCTCTGCCAGCTTGTGACCGTTATTCCTTGTCACTCCTGGGAGTGCTCAGGGGAACCAGGACTCCCCCAATGCCTGCTGGTCCCCCCTGACTAGTTTGTAAACAGCCACTAGATCCCCCTCAGCCTCCTCTTGTGGAGACTGAACAGGTTCAGGTCCCTTAGCCTCTTCTCGTAGGGCCTGCCCTGCTGCCCCCTGATCATGTGAATGGTCCTCCTCTGGACCCTCTCCATGTTGTCCACATCCCTCCTGAAGTGCGGCGCCCAGAACCAGACACAGTACTCCAACTGCAGCCTGACCAGTGTCGCATAGAGGAGGATCACCTCCTTGGACCTGCTTGAGGTGTATCTGTGGATGCATGACCAGGTACGGTTGGCCTTCGTGACCGCGTCCCCACATTATTGGCCCATGTTCATTTTGGCATCAATAATGACCCCAAGATCCTTTTCTGCCTCTGCACTGACGAGAAGGGAGTTCTCCAGCCTGTAGGTATGCTGCTGGTTCTTCCCCCCCAGGTGCAGTACCTTGCACTTGTCAATGTTGAAACCCAACCTGGTCTCATCCGCCCACCCCTGTAACCTGTCAAGGTCTGATTGCAGCCTATTCCTCCCTTCTAGCATGCCCGCTTTCCCCCACATCTTAGTGTCGTCAGCAAATTTGAACAGGGTGCTTTTCACCCCCTCATCCAAGTCGCTGATGAAGATGTTGAATAGTTTGGGTCCGAGGACCGAGCCCTGGGGGACCCCACTGCCCACATCCCTCCAGGTTGAAAATGACCCATCCACCACCACTCTCTGGGTGCGGCCCTCCAGCCAGTTAGTGACCCATTTGACTGTGTAGGTGTCGACGCCACAGTCCCCTAGCTTTTTAATGAGAATGGGGTGAGAGACAGTGTCGAAGGCCTTCCTAAAGTCCAGAAATACTACATCCACTGCTACACCTGCATCTAAGGATTTTGTGACCTGGTCATAGAAGGCCACCAGCTTGGTCTGACAGGACCTGCCTCTAATGAACCCGTGTTGGTTGCCCCTAAGCATAATCTCCCCTGCTGGCCCCTCCTGGACATGTGCCAGGATAATTCTCTCAAAAAGCTTACCCAGGATCGAGGTAAGACTAACTGGCCTATAGTTTGCTGGGTCTTCCTTCCTCCCTTTTTTGAAAATGGGAACCACATTGGCCCTTTTCCAGTCCTCTGGCACCACACCAGAGCACCACGAGTGCTCGTAAAGCCATACCAGGGGTAGACAGATGAGCAACTGTCTGAGGTATTGTGCCTTGCCAGTGGGTGACCAGGAGAGCAAACAGCTACCTCAAGTTAAGCTGTAGGCAAATGATGCCTACGCTGGTATAAATTACACAGGCTAATGTTCTCTGGGTTTTTTTTTTTTCCTGAAGTAATTCTGAAACAGAATTCAGTAACTTGCACTTATGTCGGGCCCTTTATTGCAAGTCCACTCTTTTCTTTTACACCTGTGTAAATGTTGTATGTGGTAGATCAGAAAACATGGGCATGTATTTATTCTCTAGATGCTGTACATACAGGTATAAGGTATACTGCCTTTATGTCCTGACTGTTACTTGCCACCTTTAGATTGCTTCTTGACTGGGGTTTCTAGATACTGCCATAATATAAATTTATATAATACTAAAAAATTCCACTTATGCTACTCAAGATAGGGCTGTGGGGCCTGTCCAGATGGTAACAGACAAAATTTAAACCTAGTCAGTGGTCAGAAACGAGCATAAACAAAATCGCTCTCAAGCTCTTCAAGGACAGCAGGAGAAATTAAATGTAAACATGACTAAATACAATTCCCCCTGCTGACAGGCTACTTGCTTAAGCAAGAATCTTTTTATGACTATATTGTTAAAAACTTGGGTGCTGATTAAATAACGTTCAAGTAAAATAACAATCCTTAGTATAAGGTTGCTTAATATTAAGGTGACTATTAAAGGAGAGTTAAGCTGGTTCTCAAGCTTTTTTTCAAATGTTTCTTAAAATAGAAGAGAAAATAGTAAAAATAATCATAAGAAAAACAACCTCTTGCCACCTCTGAAATCAGAAAGGCAGATGTTGTTAATCATCATTTTTATAGAAATGTGCTTTTAAAGAATATTACATTGTATTAGTAAGTTTAAACTTTCTTTGCTTGCACCTTCAGATTATATTGCTTTTTCAAAGTAGTTAGTTGTATTCAAACTGTATTAGTATAATTAGGATATTTTCTGTTTTGATTTAATGAGTGTTTGTTTCTTCTGTTTAGCTCGGATACTGTATTTAAACAAAAGTCTCCAAAGACCCAGAAAACAATGATAGCTTTGTAGTCACTAACAGTAGCCTTCTATCTAATGGCAATATTGCATATCGTCACCCTACTAAGGAGGTTGAGAAGGAAGCATGCTTTCCATTTAAATATCAGGGAACTGATTATTAGCAGATGATACATTTCTGGTACTGGTTTTATATTTCCCTCAGATTTTACTTCAACATTTTATGTAACTACTTCAATAATTTTAAAAAAGAATTAAGAAAAGTACATCATTCCAGATCATCATGTAAATAATAGATGAACAGAAAGATTAGTATGGTACTAACAAATATTGGGAAGAGAACCCAGATTTTTTGACTCAGACTCCTGTTCTAACAACTTCAGATTTGTTATCCCAAAAAATGCTTCACAGTTGAGGGGCAGTAAGTCATGTAAAGCCTTTTCATTTGGTAAATAAAAATCAAATATTTTTGTAGGAGTTGTGCCAAATAACTTTCCTTAGATCTTCAATCTCAATTTAGATATTTCTCTTATTTTGCTTTAGATCAGCGCCTAACATTTGCATCGTGAGTACTTTGTAATCTCTGTTGTTTTCATAACAGACCTTTGATTTTTGAGGAGGAGAGAAGTTCTGTTATCTTCATTTTACAGATGATTCGTTAGCACAGAGATAAACTAAGTGACTTATCCAAGCTTGCATCAAAATCTATGGTGGAACAAAGAATTGAATTCCAATAATTTAAGTGTGGCTTATCAATTACTTATCAGGTGGTGTGCAAGCATCTGGTATCCCCACACTTCTCCATCTTAAAACTGTAAACTCCTTTTTCATGTTTTCAGATAAGTAGTCCTCCAACTCTTTTGATCCATGGCTTAAAAAAAAATGTCCAGCCATCCTGTAATCATGGCTCATGGGAAAATTATAGTGGGAGGGTTTGCTGCTGCAGCATCCTACTAATGAATGCCACTTAGTTGAAAGGAGGAAAAAAAAGGTCTTGTCTCATTTCTAGCTCTTACTTAACTTGTTCCTAAAATCCTGGTCGTCTCATTCTCCTCTCCAGTGTGTTTGATATGTCTTGATGTCATGAACAAAATGCAAAAGACATAGATCCCCTGGTTCTACACACGTGAATATCACCATCCTGTTATGAAAAATATAGAAATATAAAAGACTAACTGGGTACAGCTACATGGTGAATATAAGACATGTTGTATATAAAAAATAAGAAGAATTGACTTCATTGAAGTTAAATCTTCACTTGCACTTTACTGCTATGGGAATTTTGGCCAGAGCATTCCTATTGCAGATGCAACATACTGTCATTAAGAAAATAAAGTCTTTGTCTTTCTCTGAAGGTTTTATATATAATGCTATAGAGGAAATGAAGCATTGAGTTACCTTGAAATAGGAAAGTGTTCCATAGATTCGTTTTGTAAATAAGCTGGGTAAAAATATTAGCAATTAATAGAATCACTAAAAAATAGGACTGATAGGGAATGCTTAACTAATGTTTCTTAATTATCATGTAGTCTAACCCCTTCTCAAGGTTGAATCATGTCTGGCTCAGCCACCCCAGCCAAATGTTTTTCTAACTTGCACTTCAAAGTTTCTAGTGGTGGAGAGTCCACACTATCCAATTAATCTGTTCCAGAAGAATTTTTAGAAACTTTTTCTAAATATCCAGCAAACATTTCCCTTGACTAATTTAAGCCCGTTACTGCTTTTCCTTTCACTCATGGACACAGAGAATTCTTGATAGCCATCCTTTTTTTAACAATGATTCTGACATTGTTAATGTAAAACTGTCATTGTTATGACTCTTATCATATTCCCCCTCCCGATTTGCTTCTCCAGACTAAATAACCCCAATTCTAACTTTCCTTGTATGTCATGTTTTCTAGACCTCTGATCACTTTGTTGCTCTCCTCTGGACTCTCTCCAATTTGTTCATGTCTTCCTTGAAGAGTAGTGCCCAAAACTTGACAAACTACTCCAAGTGAGCTTTTACTAGGACTGAATAGAGTGCAGGAATCATTTTCAGTAGTTTACCTACAGCAGGCCTGATAATGCATCTCAGTATGATATTTAGCTTTTCTCAACAATATGACACTTGACTTTTTTTCAGCTTGTGGTCTACAATATCCTTCAGGTTCTCATCTGTAGTCTCATTTTGTAATCGAGCTTTTACTTGTTCCACCCAAAGTGCAGTACTTGGCGCTTGTCCTTGTTGCAGTTCATCAGATTTATTTCAAATAATTTTTTCCAAATTATCATGGTTATTTTAAAATCTAACCCTGTTCTCCAAAGTGTATCCTATATCATTCTGCTATGTGTCATCTGTTGGTTTACTAGTTTTGTACGCTTAGTTCTCTCCTACAAATCATTAATTAAGTTACTGAACAGTGCTGGCCTAGGGACAAGCTCCTGAGGATCCCACTTGCTACTTTTTCTGAGTTAGCTGTCAAACCATTAATGACTACTTTTGAAGTACAATTTTGCAACCAGTTATGCACCCAGTAGTTTCATCCAGATTGTATTTCTTTAACTTTTTTATGAGACTATCATGGGCTTATTGCAGGATTATTGAAGTAGAACCAGAACTAGGACTAGTGGGTATAAGTAGTTCTCTGTCAAGATAGTTGAGGGATATTATTTTGTAGTGCATCAAGTTGAATCCTTCAGTCATCCCAGATCAGTAGAGTTAAAGTTGCTCAGTTGAGTAGCTTCCTGGTCTGGTCTTATATTTGTGTTGGCCATTAGAAAAGAGCTTTGTAAATATATTTGGATATCAGATCCTCCAGTTGGCTGAACTCATTTCCTGAAATTGAACTAGTCTGGCTTACAAGAGAAGCTTAACAGCAGCACACATTACATCAAACTTTTGAACATCTCTTGTATCTGCATTGCCTTTTGTTGGTTGTTATATCTTTGGCTAGTGTTACACAGTCATATGGAATTTCTTTAATCATGCATTCTCCACAGATGTTCTTTATATAAACAGAGCTTAATATTAACAAATAAATATAATTCATAAACTTGATGGTACACTTAATTAACAGAAGGTGTTGGCCCTCCTTGCCATATCCTGCTAGAACAACAAAGCTTAAATTTGTTAAAATGACAGATGAAAATTCCTCAGGCATAATGAGGTATGCCACTCCACCTTTTCCCAGCACCCTAAGCTCCTGGAACAAGGAATAGGAGATAGAGCATCACTATGTAGCCTGCTAGAAAGGAAACAGTTTATTTTTTTAACAGTTTGCTTTGGGTGTGCATTTTTTATTGTTTTGCTTTATTCTAAGGTAAGCATTTTATATAGTGAATGCATACTTTGAAAAGTAATTTCATACGCTCCTTTAAAAACACAGGTATTACAAGTTTAGTTTAAAATTCTTGACCTATTAACATTTCTGTACAGGAAAAACACACATGGGGAAGGAGGTCTCTTCTCTGCAGAGCATTATATGAAAAGTAATTCATCATAAGGTTTTTTTTTAACATAAACTACAAAATTGAACAGTCAGTTGAATACAGTTGGGCTACTGGAGCCATTCTGCATATTATTTCTTTAAAAAATGTCTGCAGCTAACTAACTTCAAATTTTCTTCCACAGAACCTACCAGTCACACGTATCCTGGATAACCTTATGGAGATGAAGTCAAATCCTGTGAGTATATCTATTGGGGGGGAAGAGGAGGGAAACTGCAATACATTACTTCCATTATATGTTAATATCATGGCAGTTAATTCTGGTTCCCCTGCGTTTTGATTTAGAAACTAATAATTTTAAAAATTATGTTGAGTGCATGCTTACCTTCCATTTTCTTGCATAATATTTTAGTTTCTATAGGTGAAAAATCTTTTAGTCTTAATAGGGTTGTTGGTTGTGGCCGTGTTGGTCTAAGGACATAGGCAGACAAGCTTCTTTGCGTAGATGTGATATCTTTTATTAGACCAAAAATTGTTCTTTGCAAGCTTTCAGTCACTGCCACACATTTGCATTTTCACAGATCTTCATTTTGCATTTTGGCTTCTGAATTACTCTGGAGAGCACACAATTCAACAGCAGACTCTCTCTATGCTTTTAGTCTTAGTAGTCATTTAAGATGATGTGGAAGGAAGGAGCCTTAATAGCTTAACTGGCAGTTAAAGGTTGCTCATCACTTTCCTGTATAATACCTTGTTTTCAGTTGCTTATAAATGTACCACCCTTTGTGGGCTGATATTTTTCATGTTTCACATTGAATTTGTTTGGAAGATGTCCAAAAACCAGCTTAAGTGTTTCTGGTTATGGGCACCTGTACATATGTTCTGACGTGTTCTGATTAGAAGGTGTTGGAGCAGACTTGATAATTGAGTCTGTTGGAGCATCCCTGTGTTTCAAAATGGTGGTGGAGTGCTTTAACTAAAACTCATTGAATGAGCTTTAGTTAAGGCACCTCTACCACCATTTTGAAACATGGGGTGCTGAATACCCAAAACACTACGGGCATTTTAATTAAAGCTCCCAAGAGCCACTTCCAATTAAAATGCCTCACCCCCACCCTGGAGCACGTGTAAAAATGCCTAATGAAACTAGAGGAAAATGTATTTTGTCATTTTTTAAAAGCTTCTTGAGATCATTTCTTTGATATATTCCAGCATTGGTTTCTTGATTTAGAGCAGGAACTTGAAATTCAGTGGAGTTCTGCCTTTGTGGCAGGGATAGGTCTTTTGTTGTTCCTGTGACAAGTTGTTAGATTTGGCCAAGCATATGAAAAAGCTTATGGAAAAAATGGCAATTTGTGCACACACTTGTTAAACTCTAGCAAATCTTTACTAGCTAAAATCTCAGAAGATTCCTTTTTACTGTGTGTACTTGAGCCTCTGTCAGCTCCTTGGGCATTTCTCATAGCTCAGAGATAACCATGCAGCACATTTGCCAACCCATTAGGTCAGCGGTTGGCAGCATATGACCCATGGCTGGATGCTGCCTGTGAACGTGGGGCTTCAGGGGAAAAGCTCCAATTACTGGCACTCTCCCTTTGCTGGAAAAGTATAGGTGACTTTGAATGACAAGAGCCTCCCAAGAATTCTTCTATAAATATGAGTAGATGCCAGTCAGAACACTAATGTGAGGAAGCTAGAGTAAAACAGAGGTCACATACAAGTGAGTTAACACCAACTCTTGGCTTTTTTTTAATATATATTCAGCTTCCTCAGTCTACAAGTTTAAAAATCAGTCTGGAAAAGATTGCAATTCATATACTTTTATTTTTGCTGGCTTGATATTATCACAGAGTATTGCAATGGAGGATAGCCAACATCCCTGAGATAATTCAGGGAAAATGCTTACCTTCTTGCTTGTGGAAAAACAAAGTTCTTACTGGGCCCATCCTATGAAAACTGGCAACATGTTTAGCTTCCATGTGGCATGAGGTAGGGGAAAGAACGAGGTTTCAGGACCAGAGTTAAGAGTCTTAGTCTTCAGGCCAGTGGGGACCAGGCAAAACTCAGAGTAAATCCCTTAACTGCTAGCAGTTGCCAGCAGTTTGTTAGACAGGTACTCCCTTTGGGTTTATTAAAAGTGACTCTTGAAGTTACCTTGGGGGGATGTCATATTTTGAGCTAGTTAAAGGAGTGGAGTATAACATGGAAAAAGTGCACACGTATCTAAAGGGCGAAAGACTAATACCATATTTTCTCATGTATAATTCGCACTTTTTATCAAAACCAGCTGGTGAAAATTGGGGTGCACATTAAATGTCAGAAAACTGGATCCCCATGGGTCTGGAAATTTGGTGTCAGGGGAGCGATGACAGTGTTAATTGCCATGGTTCTGGGAGTCACTCCCTTGAAACCAAATTTCCAGACCCATGGGGAGCCCCTCAGATAGGTGACAATAGTCCCTTATGTCTGGTTGGGCCAGCTCGCAGGGTCAGTTTGTGGCCAGAACCAGTGTGTTGGGCAGGACCTGGTATGCAACCCTGGTCCCAGCTTGCAGGATCAGACCCTGCACCAGGCCCTGGCCTATGGGTTGAACTGTGCTGGGTTGGGAGTGAGTCTTGGCATCGGCCCCAGCACATGGTATTGGGACTCCACTGGTTTGATCCACATTCTCCATCCAGCACACGAGGCTTGCATTAGGCTCAGGAGCAGGCTCAGCTTCCTAGCTGCTGCAGGAATACTTGTTTTTCTTCATCCTGCCACTCAAAACTGAGGAGTGTATTATATATGGGGGCATGAGATAATATATGCGGAATTCAACCAGTTCAAACTATGCTCATGCATTATTGAATAGTCTTTCCATCCCACAAACAAACAAAAAGTGTTCCTTGCCATACTGGCAACAGATAAATAGAGAAAAAAAATGATGAAAACTTACTTTCTCCACAGAATTTGGGGAGGTGTACTTTTACTTGTCAAGCTAAGTACCAGATGTATAACATATGTTCTTTATATATTTTAAATAGAATATTACTTTCACATAAATTATAAATTTACACAAAAATTGTATATACATTTTATACATAGCATACATGGTATTTAAATGTATGAAATTTATATAACTACACTCGCATCTTATTAATGTATTAGACAATAGTATTAAACGTGAGGCTTTTACCAGTAGTATCTACAAATGCTACTTTGTCAAATGGTGTTTAATTTTTTTTCTAGAAATGTAGACTTTTAGAACACACTGAGCAAAATGGATTCAGATTTCTTTCTGTTCAGTTTCTTTCACTGGTATTATGTATTACAGTACTCAAATACTGCTCCCTGTTGCTTGCCCTATCCCAGCTAACTGCCACAAAAGAGAAACCAGCCCTGTGCCTACTTTTTTGAGCTAGGGACATAGTATCTTCTAATACTGTAACTTTTGCTTAGGTTGGATAACTATAATACTGCTTTTGCGGTGGTGTTGCTTTGTCAGTACCAGAGTTTAATAACTTTTAATACCTTGATTTGTTAATGACTTTGTATGAGCTGCTGTGTTTTTTCATAGGCCTTAACACACAGTTGATTAAAATCATTTGTGTATAAAAATAATTTGTAAATTGTAGAGGGAAATAATTACATTCTTTGATCTGGCTGAGATATATTCAGATAAGTTCTCAAGAGGAATTGTTTGTACTGTACTGAATCATCAAAACACAGACACCAGTTCCTGCCGCCTATAGCACAGGAATGGACTACTGCACTTACATGCAACTTCACTTTGCAGTACCAGGTTGAAAGTTAATTACAAAAGAAATGAAAGCCAACTAGTTGTCACAAGCACTTAACTAGAAACTTTGTTTTTCTCTTTTCCCCTCTAATATTTAGCAAAAGTCTTTCTCAGTGCCAGTGAAAATATTGGATATCTTGGAACTGCTTTGAATGAAGAAAAAATCATTGCATCTAATTTAAACAGTCAGAACTTTTTAAGCATTTATGTCACTTTTATTGTGCAAACACTTTATTTTGTTTTAATAGTAGCCATAAATCTTGAAATGAAATGTACAAGTGTAAGTTTCATAATTGAAGTAGATTTTGATCTATGCTATATTTTAGCATTCACTGACATAAGCATGTCCTGGAAAAAAAAATATTTTGAACCAATTACATTTTAGGGCTCTAAAGCTGGTATCACCTTTGTTTTTCTTTTTGAATATTACTCTGTTTTGGAGACATATTTAATAGCCAATACATTTTGGACAGGTTTTAATAGCAATGAATTGCAGATCACCCCAAAAACAGAGTAAACCCCGTAGCACCCTCCAGAGGTTGCTAATTACTATAGAAATAGTAACTTTACACAGTTACAATTCAAACACTGTAAATATACAAAGTCTGTAACTTTTCATTTAATATATACATCAGGTAACTTCTAAATATAAAATTACTTTGATTTGAAAAGCATTCATATAACAGATTTAACCAGAACTTGCACAGTGTACAAGTATACTTGTATACTTTTCTTTTTGCATATTACTTTGTTTTTGAGACATCTTTTTTTAACATCCTTCTTTTTAATAGGAAACAGATGACTACAGATATTTTGATCCCAAGATGCTGCGAGGAAGTGACAGGTGAGTATACGGTTTATGTTTCTTCTATCTTCCATAGTTTGGAGCAGTATATATAAGTACCCATTTCAAAGCATAACATATCAGGATTATGTCCGTCATTTTATAGAAAGTATGCTTTTGTAGCTGCTGTTCATGTTTCAGTGTACTTGCATAAATATTGCAAATATGCTATCTTTTTAAGCAACATATCTATTTTTAAATTATTTTCTGACTCCTTTCACTACTATTATACTATGTGATTTGTGCTTTTAGGTTTGTAAATTCATTTTTCTCTCATTATTGATTGCATAAAATAATTAGGCATAACCTCTAAGTCAAAACACGTGATGACAGAGGAACTAAAAGCTGTGTATCAGCCATAGAAGTTCCTGTAATGCTGTGTACTAAAGCTCTCATTTCAATGCCACTACAGCTGTCATAAGAAGTTCTAATACTCTAGCAGCAGAGTCCCTTCTAATGCATTTTTTTTACTTTTGAATTTCACAACTATTTGCAAATAAACTAATTTCTTTGTTTGAATTTGTCCATTGATTTTTTTTTTTTTTTTGAATGGAAGGTCATTGGCACTGTACTTAAAGTTTCCTATTAATTCTCACAGGGTTAAAATACTCCCATTCACCCATTCATATTTAACATTAGATTGTCCAGTAGTTCTTTTAAAAGGAACATGAAACTTTTGTGTTTCTGGTAAAAGTTATAGATTTCTCATTAATTTGCTGTGACAGAGAATTTTGTCTCATCATTTAAAAAAAAGAAAAAGGGGAGAAATAAGACGACTGACACCAAAAATGTCAGACTGTTTCCTGACCTATTTTTGTGAACAAAACCACTACTGAAAATCTCTACTCTAATTCTCTAGAAATGGAGAATATCTTCAGTTTTACTTGAGCTCTTTTGAAAATAAGGTCCAGTCACAGGAGAGCAGCAAGATCTTTTAATTCTTTGGTTTTATTATTGGGCTTATGTGGAGGGAGGACGCAGAACCAGCACTGTCCTTGGCTTATGATTAAATACGAATTTCAGCTGTCTCCTTCACAGTGTTTCATTCTTGATAGTGTATCTGCAATAATGAAAAATGCTTTGCAGAAAATATGTATCATACATTGCACAAATATTTTCAAATGCAACTTCAAGAATTAAAAATAGATATAGAAAGCTGTCAAAGTAAAAATTGGCATTACCAAATACAGTACTTTTTAGAAATATAACTGGAGCTTTCAGCTTGCTTTATTCTAGTGTCATCTAAACGTCTGTTTTAGTTCATTTACAAACAAAGTTGATTGTTTTTGTTTTTTCATGGAAATGTTTCATGCATAAAATAATTTATCTCTGTTGCAAATAATATACACACCTTTACTTTGAAACCTGCAATAATTTGCAAGCTTGTCACCCATCCTGTGCAGCTTCTGTGATATTCTTTTTAAAGAAAACTTTTACAAATATACCTTACCCAATAGAAATCTGTAATATTGCACAATACATTTTAATAGTCTGGTATTTTTATTTGAGCTATATATTTCTATAGAACTAATAGACTGAACAGTTTGAAATATTGATTATCAGTAATATTATTGCTGAAAGGTCATTATTGATTTATTTTTGAGTTATGCTTTACCACATAAGACACTTTAACCATTAATGATGGGGCTAAGCTGTTAAAGATGGTGAAATAAGAAACGTGCAGCTGAGGGAAAGGGTTTGGATGGTAATTTTCTCAAGCAAAATAAATTAATGCTGAGTATTGCATCCAAGAATTTTCCTGATCGTCTTTTAAAGAACTGCCATAAAGCTCTATCATGCCTGTTTCCACTCAAATTTACGACAGTTCTTTGTGCATTCAATGCAATTAGAATGTGCAGACATGAGTTTTAATGCACCGTCATTTTTTCATATGTATGCAAGATGCACAGTTGTATATCTGTTTTATGCATATGACCAGAAGTTCAACTGATTTGTCTATGATGACCTTATGGCTTTATGCAAATAGTCTATGGAATACCTATGCTGAAGGTTGCATTTAATTTTAAATTGAGCCTGATAAGGATGACAACTGAATCACTGTGGGTAGAGAGGCTTTTGTTTGTAGTTCTTACCTTCTGGACAGGACTACACAGAACAAACAATATACTTTCAATGGTAATCCAGGAGACTATTTCAGCTAGCTACCAAAAATTCAAGTAAAAAATAATGATGTTCAATAATATAATCACTGAAATACCATTATTAATTTCTTTCTTTTCTTAATGCACAGGAATGATTTGATTCCTATATACCCTTTTACTGTAAGAAATATTGGCATTTCTGCCAGTTGTTTTCTTTTGAAAAGGAAGAAGCCAGTCTCAACAGACATACATTTTTCTAGTCCACATTTACACTTCTGTCAGTATTTGCAAATTTGTATTCCAAAAGGATGAATTTAAATGTTTATGAATATACATAAAGGAAAAATTATGCTGACAGTACTGCATTCATGCCATAATCCAAATCCTCCTATTTAAAAGTTGATTCTAATGTATAAGAAAACTAGTTTCTGTGAAGCACTGCAATATTATCTGAACGGTAGCCTGACAGTTTTGAGAGCTATGGAAAGAATAGCTGGTAATATTTAAATACAAAAATGCAAGAGGGAAGAAATTTGTATAGCTAGTATTTGCTGCCCCCTGCCCTAATGCTGTTTCATTGGACCAGCAGAGGAGGATTTTTATCAGATCAGTCGAGGCCAGAAAATCCTGGGGGGAGCATGAGAGGAGTTGGGACAAAATGACAGAGTTGATTACTCCAGAGCTTTTGCTTATGTCCCCCTTCCCCTCTCAAGCAAGGAGAAGAGTTCTCAAGTTCTCCCTTTCCCTGTTGACTAGGTTCTTCAGTCCCATTATGCTCTATTTCCACTTCCTCACGTTACTTAAAGCAGTCAACACTTTCAGCAGCCACCTGGAGTTTCCACAGTTCTTGTCTTGTAATAAAGACATAGTTTGGACTGAATTTTCAAGATTCAGTGTTTGATCAGATCAAACTCAGTCTGGGGGGGTCAGGAATTAATTTTGCCCACAGGAGAAGGCTAAAGTATTTAGTGGTTCTGCTCTGCTTTGAAGCATCTTGAAGGGGCTCCATTTCAAGGTACCATTGTAAGGTAACAAAAAAGTAAGCACAGTCGCTATGTGTTTATGAATGAAATATATTATTTTGTTGCAGTTTGCTAGTGTCCAAGGTGGGTGAGAGGCTTAGCAGAGCCAGCTCACACACAAACACAAGAAAGAGATTCAGGGTATAATTGGTTCTATAAGAAGAATGAAAGACTATAAGCTTCAGAGTGCGGTATCCTCATTCCCACTCCTGTAGAGAGAGCAAGAGGTTTCTGAGAGTGGGAGAGTTAATCCTTGGGTTAGGCTGAAGTGCTTTAATCCTTGAATCCTGGTAATAGTGTTTACTGTAGAGGCCATTTTAAAAAAAAATTGGACATGAAAATCCATCCCCATATCTAATTCATTCTCATGCATGTCTGTTTGGAACAATCTGTTTATGCTTACTTTATGTCAGTCTATTTTAGTGCATACCGTAAATCTTAAATCACCACCTGACAGATACAACCAGCTAACACAGCCACATTCTTCTGTCCATTATGGCTCAGAGATCCCAACGTCTAGACTTCATTTCAAAAGTTTCAGTTATCCCACATTCAGGCATTTTACCACGTTGCATTTTATTCTCCATATATAATTGAAAAGTCCCTTTCATAATTCTACCGCAGAGAATGCCCATATTAAGCTGAAGTCAGGACAGGGTGGCACTTTGAGAGTAACTAGTTCAGACAGGCAAAAGCTTTCATAGGTGACTGTTAGGTAATAGTCTATTCATCTGACAAAGTAGGTTGTCGCCTACAAAAATTTATACCTCTCTTAGCCAGTTGATCTCTAAGGTGCCAATGTGTCCTACCTTCTGCCTAATTCTATTGCCCAATCTGTTCCTTAAATCTTCCTTTATGGACTAGGAAGCTGAGTATACCTTCCCTATTATCCTTTCTACTATGCATTAGAAACCTAATCCACTTGGAAAGCGGGTCACAGGTGTTTTGTTTTTGTTCTGTTTTTGCTTTATCATATGTAGAGAATCAGCTGGGGCCAGGAATGGGAGCTTGCCATGACAGCCTGCTGTAATTTTTTATGTGATTCTTGGTAGATTTTCCAAGCTATTTCAAATGCATATTGATGGTTGTACCCTCTCTCAGGAAAGTTTGAAAGTGTCATGAACTGCACATTTAATGCTTGACTGATTTCAACAAATTCTAGTGCTTTATATCTCAGAAAGTCAGTTATACTAGCTGCACCACAGTTTACACAGTCCAGAAACTTAGAAGTTTATACATTCCACAGATGTATCATGGAGCTCTCATTAATCCACATATTCATAGAAGAGAACTAGAAAAAGAATGAATCGATTTATCCCAAATTAAAGAAATAGATCCTGTACACTACTTCTCACTGATGAATGAAGGGAGTTCCTACAACATATTATTTTGGAGAAATAATAAGTCACTTTTTAGAACTTTGTGTTAAAAAAATCATACCACCAAATGTTAAAGTGTGTCCTATTTAGGATTGCTTTTATTATTTTAATATCTGTATTAACAGTGAATTCCTGTAATAGTATGGATTATTTCTATTACAGCTCAGTTCCAAGAAACAAAAGTCCATTCCAGGAGGTAAGTCATGTAGAACTCAATTCCCTCCTCATCCCCTGCCACCCCAAATACTTTTTAAGGTATTGGACATTTAAAAAAAGCAGTTACATTTGTAAAAAATCAGTTTGTTTAATTACATGCATTAATTAATTATACATAGCACATACTCTGAAGAACTCTTCGTCCTCAAAGAACTGTATAAGCATTAACCTAATCCTTAACAATGTTCTTGCAAGTAATTGTAGTGGT